TAATTATCCCCCCAAAAAAGTTAGAAAGAGCCCCTGCTTTAGACCATGCAATTCCAATATGTCAGTTGTTTTGTTTGTTAGTTCTGTTTTCCCGAGTCAAGGTCTTATTATGTAGCCCAGCCTGGCCTTGAGCTCACAGCAATCCTCCTGCCTCAGCCTCCAGAGTGCTGAGATTACAGGCATAGGCAGCTATACCTGGCTTGCTAAGGCTGTTTTTTAAATCGAAATAAGGAAGGTTTCCTTCCATTTCTCTGCCCCTGCGGGTCACAGCACCTCTCTCCTCACATAGCTTTCTCCTCTTCCTTGGCATTTCTAGCTCTCCTAAGACTGCTCTAGTGCGGCCTCTTGCCTGACTCACTCCTATGCTTTCCTTGTCTTCAGCAGGGTTCACTTTGGATTTGGGGGACAGATAGGGGTGGGGTAGGGCCTCACCGTCCCGGGCCTGGTGAAGTCCACGCTGTTTGCCAGGCTCTGTCGCATCTGGTTGCTGAAGAGGCGGACACAGACGCTCTGCAGGTACTCGGGTGTGATCTGCGAGGGGACACGGATGGGCACGGTGAGAGGCAGTGACCCCATGAGGGACATGAAGCCTGCCATCCCTTGAGAGCCTCTGTGTGGTGCAGGGAGGAAATGGAGCTGGAAAAAGAACCGTTGGCTACAATCTGGACATGCCTGGGAGGAAGCCACACATCACCTGACCCGATTCCATTCTCATCCTGTATTTTTAGCTTTGTACCTTGTTCCTTCTCTGTAGCCTAAAAGCACGTTCCAACACATTTCACACTGCAAACTCAGCTTCACCCCCTCCCATGCACTTCCGTCTGCCCACTGCTCCCTCGACTTTGCAGCCAGGGTGAAGCCCCTACTTCCTCCACAGAAGCCACATCCCAAGGCCACCACAGTGGCCTCCTAGAGGTCACCAGTTCTCATCTGCAGGGTTCTCTGTGGAGCAACCCTTGCTCCTGCGCCTGTCCTCTAACTATAGGAAGGGCCCCCAGAAACCACCTCTCCAACAGGAAACCTGATTAGGTCACCATACTAAAGACAGGTGAAAAAGAACATGAACAGACAGTTGACAAAAAAATATATATATATGTAAGTGGCCAATGATATAGGAAGATATATTCAGATTCATGGGTAAGTGGAAATGAACTCATTTAGGATACTAAGATTTGGGCTGGTGAGATGGCTCAGTGGTCTAAAGCACCTACTTGGAACAAGCTTGGCAAAGCAAAGCACAGGGACCTGGTTCAATCCCCCAGCACCACATGCCTGCCAGCCCCGCTCCCTGGTGGGCTGAGCTGGTCACACACACACACACACACACACACATAAATAAATGTTAAAAAAAAAAAAAAAAAAAGGATACTAAGATTCACTTACCAGACTGGCAAAGATATCCAGGTTTTTTTTTTTTTTTGGGGCAGAACTAGGGATCGAACTCAGGCCCTTGCAATTGCCAGGCAAGCGCTTATTCTACTGAGCCATCTCCCCAGCCCCGATGTCCAGGTTTAATCCCAGATAGATTTGTTATGTGAACGGCTTTGACATGCTGCTGACATTTGAGAAAAATGACTTTGCACCACTGATCAAAATACTGATGCTTGGGGCTGGTGAGATGGCTCAGTGGTCTAAAGCACCTACTTGGAACAAGCTTGGCAAAGCAGAGGGACCACGGTTCAATCCCCCAGCACCACATGCCAGCCAGCCCCGCTCCCTGGTGGGCTGAGCTGGCCACACACACACACTCACTAAATAAATAAATAAATAAATAAATAAATGGAAAAAAATTATAAAAAATTAAAAATTAAAAAAAAAAATACTGATGCTCACCCCGACTGGCGACTGCACTGGCGGGATCTCATGTTACCTAGATTCAGGGGCACACAGATGCATGCTCAGGGATCTCTCTTACCATCTTGCCGCTCACTGTTGCCTCCAGAGAATCCACCAGCTCAGCCGTGACCCCAATGAGGTTGTGGTAGTCGGCCTGGATCTTATTGTACCGCTTCAAGTACGTCATGGACCTGCGCTCGGCCTCGACCAGCTGCTGGTGCAGCTGCTGCAGTGTCTCTAGGCGAATGTAGATGTCAAAGTTTGATATAAAAACAGCGGCGATGACAGCCACAGAATAAAAGTAACTATATTCTTCTCCAAGGACAACCACACCCACACTCAGAATCTTTTGTTGTCACGATGAAGTCGGCACTATTGATGCCTAAATTTTTACTTCTGTCATGCCAAGTGCATCTACAAAAGGTTTTGTGATCACTATTGTCTTTTTTGGCAGAACTGGGGATTGAACTGAGGGCCTTGCGCTTGCCAGGGAAGCGCTTATTCCACTGAGCCATCTCCCCGGCCTGGTTTTGTGATCACTGATTTAAAATTTCTCATTTCTGGAGTTCAACTGAATTCTTACTAGAGTTCCTACAAAATCTCTTCTTTCAACTGAACCCAGTGGAATTCCCATTTAGTTCTTTCCACATCTAGGAAATAAAATCAATGTTTTTCAACATTCAGCTCACAAAATGGATGAACCAAACTTGTCTCTTTCTCCATTTCTGCACTAGGAGGTTGTCCAAGGGCCAAGTCCTGTCTGTGCGACAGTATTTCACTTTAATCAAAAGTCAGGGCTGCTGGACTAATGCTGGAAAAAAGAAGGCTTTGGGATGAGCTGTGACCTTAGTGCTCCCTCCACAGTTTGATAAAGCTGAAAAGCACTCCACCAAGCCTTTGCCCCAGTGACAAGAAGGCACTGGGCTCTCTGCGGGGCTCCCAGGGGCAGCCTGGAGTGATAAGGCCAACCCGGTCAGAGCTGGCGCAATGCCAGAGTTACTGTGTCGGTTAGTGCCCTGTGTTGTGAAAAACCACATGAAAAATTAAGATAAAAACAGCAATTAACCACTGGGAGGAATGTATGCAATGTGTTAATTATTGAAACTGTCCTACAACAAAAAAACAATTACGGTAAAAGTAGGAAAAGGTTGATTTGGGGCCAGTTTTGGAGATCAGGCTTCGGCCTTCTGCTTTTCGGCCTGTAGCACAGCAGGACATCGTGGCAGGAACACTCGGCAGAGGCCACGGGCCCCATGGTGGCCAGGAAGCACAGAGGGAACCTGCCCTGGAACTCAGTGACCTGACTGCCTCCTCCCAGCCTGCCTCCCATGGCTCCGTCACCCCGAGGGCACCACAGGAGCACTACAGATCCGAACCACAGCACACTTCCTGTCCTCTCCTGAAAGCCCCATTCAGATAGGAGATCACTGCGCCCACAACCAGGCCACTGACATCTATGGACCCAGTCACTTGTGATACTTAAAGCCTCATTTCAGAGTAGATTTCATGGATACAGGGAGAAATTTAAACATGATAAAGACCTGGGCCAGCCTGGCATGGTGGCACTCATCTGTAATCCCAGCACTCAGAAGGCTGAGGCAGGAGGATCATTTTGAGTTCGAGGCCAATCTGGGCTACAAAGTGAGTTCAAGGCATAGGTAGACCCTGCCTCAAAAAGATTAAAAAAAAAAAAAAAAAAAAAAAAAAAGGCCAGGGATATAGTTCAGCAACAAAAGCACCTATCTGGCAAGTGGTCCAGAGTTTGATTCCTGGTACCAAAAGAAAAAAAAGAAGAAAGAAGAAGGAAGGAAGGAAGGAAGGAAGGAAGGAAGGAAGGAAGGAAGGGGAAGAGGAGGAGGAGGAGGAGGAGGAGGAGGAAGAGAGAAGATCTGGACTCAAAGCTCTACCACCTTCCTGCTAGGTAAGTGCAGACAAAACATTTATCTTGCCCAACTCATACTTCTTAACCTGTAAAATAGGGATACTCACTACCCTGCAGGATTCTTGTGAAGACTGAAGAAACAGTCAAAGTGCTTAGCACGGGGGGGGGGGGAGATGGCTCAGTAGAATAAGTGCTTGCCTGGCAAGCGCAAGGGCCTGAGTTCAATCCCCAGTTCTGAAAACAAAAACAAAAACAAAAAAAAACCAAACCAAAAAAACCCCAAAGAGCTTAGCATAGAGGGTGGCCCAAAGCCGGTGAGCACGAAGTGGTGACAAGTATTCCACAGCCCAGATGGCAATCCTCTTGCCTCAGTCTTCCCGAGGCCAGGATGACAGGCATGCGCCACCACACGTTCCTCTGCTGCAGTCTTTTCTTACCTTCTTCAAAAGGTTATGGAAACTTCATCCATGAAATTTTATGATCAAGACTCACAGAACGTTATTACCCAGCCATTTCATTTAAACAACCTGAATGGGGAACACGCTAGTAGCCTTGGCTGTGGAAGGCACAAGTGGGTGGCAAGTGGCGGTCACGCTGGTCTCTGCTGACGCACTGCACTGTGAACTTTCCTCAGCTGTAGCTGCCTTCTGAATCCACCAAGCCCCACTGTACCAACACCCTGCCAGCTGCCCTCAGAAAATCCTGTAACAGCAAATCTGGGATGGCTCATAAAGGTCGGCCCCCTTGCTGACTCCTGCTCCCTCCCCGGGCCCGGGTTGCCCATCTGCAGGGCTTCGCCCCTTATGAAGACCTAACAGGCTGTGCTCAAAGCCTGAGGGCCCCTGGGAGCCAGGGATGTCTCTCCCCACCTTCTTCTACCCCCAAACAGAAACATCTGACAAATCCACTGCTGGGTCAAGAAGGAGTGGCTGGCAGGTGCATCTGGGTGGCTGGCGATTGGCGTGGGTAGAAGTTCAGCGATCCCCACTGGACAGTCGGAGGCCACAGTGCTGCAGCCCAGCTCAGGCAGCAGCGCCACCCTGCCAGAGTGCAGCAGCCCCACAGTCCATGGTGTTGGCTTTGCAGCACATGGGACACAAGGTTACGGGGTCATGGTGTGAGAATTTACGGGGTCCCTGCAGAGGGTGGCGGGTCACCCGAGCCCTCAGCTCATGTGGAGCCCCCCGGGCTGCAGGCTGGGTACAGAGCCATGGGGTCCAGTGTCCGCCCTGCCGGGACTCGGCCAGGTACTGGGGATCTCTCCTTGCTGAGTTTCTACTCCCAGGCACGCCCCGCTCGCACAGCCTGAAGTGTGGGACACGCATCTCCCAGCACTCACGGCTCAGTCAGTCTCGAGGGTCCTGAGTCTTGGCTTTGGAGCAGCTCTGGGGACTTGGGGCCAGGGACGAAGTGCTGCGGTGGGAGGTGTCCCTACCGGCGTCACAGGCTCTGCCCCCAGGGTGGGAGGCAGGGACCCTAGGCCGAGCTCCTGCATCTCTGTGGGATCTCCAGAGGTCTGAGCTAAGTGAAGGGTCTCAGCTGTTTCACTATGGTGACAGAAGCAAGAGGTAACTGAGGGCAAACCCAGCAAGACCAGCCCGCTCTGTGTGCTTTCTGTTGTTGGTCTGTGCTGAGACAGTACCTCACTACGGCCTAGACAGGCCCTGAATCTTCTGCAATCCTTCTGCCTCAGCCTCCTGAGCACTGGGGTTACAGGTGTGTGCTACCGCACCTGGCCTCCCAGCCTTCTGTGACTCATCAAAACCTTCGTTTATAGGAAGAAGCTGAAAAGACTTATAAAGAGAGTTAAGCAACTTATAAGTATTTCCTTTCTTTAAAAAATTTTTTCTGAGAAGTACAAAAACAAAATGGCAGAAAGTTTTAGTTCTCCCTGAAGTTACTTTTCTTGGAAAAGAGCAAATACGGTGCTTCACAGGCCAGGAATTTCATGTAGCCAAACTCCCCCTGCTGGAGAGGAGGATTATGTCACTGAGACTTATAAAAGGCAAGAAGGACATTAGTACTTGGATGGGAGCCTTTCCAACAGAGAAATTGAAACAGCTTTCAAGCTGCAGAGCCATGCTGAGCGTGTTAGCACACGCTTGTAATTCCAGCACTCTGGAGGCTGAGGCAGGAGGATCACTGAGAGTTAGAAGCCAGCCTGGGCAATATAGTGAGACCTTATTTCAGAAAAAAAAAATCCTTCATCACCTACACTGCCCTGTTTGCCCAGTGGAGTGCGGCAGTGGCTTCCCCATGACACCCCTGGACCCTGCGTGTTCTCCTTGCCTTGGCTGCCTCATATGCACGAGGAGCTCACCCCACAGCCATCCCGAAGCGGGCCCCAAGAAGTGAGCATCTAGGCTTGTGGGACCCTCACTGCCAAAGCCAGAAATCCTCTCCATTTCTGTCCCCATCTCCCAGTTTAAAACTTGACCCAGTAGAGAGTGGGATGTCAGGCTTCTGCACTAGAACTTTCCTTGTGGTAACGAGGGAAGACCGGTGACCACCTGGCGCGGAAGCTGCAGCAGGTTTAAAAATGGGTGATGTTGAGAAAGGCAAGAAAATTTTTGTACAGAAGTGTGCCCAGTGCCACACTGTTGAGAAGGGAGGCAAGCACAAGACTGGGCCAAATCTCCATGGTCTCTTTGGGCTGAAGACCGGTCAGGCTGCTGGATTCTCTTACACAGATG